CTGATTCTTTGTTTGATGTTTCACGGCATTCCTAAAATGTTAGTATACACACAACAAATATAGAATGTGAAATACTATGAGATATTAAAATGTTTATTATCATCAAAAACATAAAACTCGTAAGCTCAAGTCACAACAATCTCCCCCTTTTTGATGATGCCAAACATTACTGGTGAAGTTTCAAACTAAAAGTATTTTCTCCTAATCTACCCCTCATTAAAATAAAAATTGAAAATTAGGGAAAGATAAAATTTTTGTTGTTTTTTAAAAAAAAATTTAAATAGATACAAATATAACAGTATGTTCTCTCCTTTAAATATTATCAAAAAAGGAGGGGAACAAATAATCAGAATAATAAAATGATCCCTGATCTAATAAAAACAAAAATTAAATATTCTTAAAATGAGAAATTTACCTCTTGATTTTATTTAAAAACTTAGTAAGTAATGTATTGACAACGTATAACCCAGAAATGTTAGAAATTCAAAAATCATTAATGTTAGCTCAAGTTCTTTTAAAGACTCCAAAACTTTTTAATTCAATATATAAATAAATTAGAAAAAGAAACATTATTTTTTTTTTCAAAACTCCTTTCATAAAACATATCGAATGGAAGATTAATGCAAAAATTGGTGAATCAAAAATCATGATTTTCAAACTCAAGTACAAAAAATATCAAGGATTTTCCCAAGCTTTAAGAAGTATAAAAAAGGTAAGCATTATTTTTTATGGGCTCATTTTATATCTCTTGTCAATTTATTGGCACACTTTACGCATCTTTTAATTTTTTATACACTTTGTGTATCTTTCTCAATTTTGTCGTTATTACGCATCTTTTGATTTGACGTCATTGACCACTTTTTTTTAATATGCTACCTTTCTAAAATTTTAAAAATAAAAGTAAACCCATTCTGTTGACCAAATAAATTACTTGATTAAAAAAATTATGAGAAAGATTCAACAACTTGTAAAAGATCCCTATGCGATAAAGAAAATGTAGGGAGATGAAAAAGATCAGTTTCAAAATCCAATTTATAATATAATGAAGATTTTGAATTAAAAGTAAAATAACTTCTTTAAGAAAAGAGATAGAGATAAAATCATGAGCTTTCTTACTTTGATTTTGTTTAGAGAAGTTAATCACAACTTATATAAGAATTCAAGAAAAATAGGAGATAGATTTTTCATTTTTAGAAAAGTGAACGTGTGTGTTGATCACAGAGAACTTCACAAAAATAAAAAGTAAAGATAATTTTAAAATTATAACGTAAAAGAAAAGGAATGAAAAATAAATAAATAAATAAATAAACATAAAGAAAATACATAAAATAAACAAAAATACAATGACCAAAAATATGCATACATAAACAAATAAACACACAAATAAGGGTTTAAATATCATCTTGCTCATGGTCTAATGATTCAGAGCAAGGTCTGCCGAGGAGATTTTTTGTTTTTCATTATTTGCCCTTTTTACAATTTGCATAGCTTTACCCTTTTCTTTTGCAGGAAGAGTTCTCAAATTAGGGAACTAATTTTTTATGTGTCTAGGCTTCCTACATCCAAAGAAAATAATGTCAGAAGAAATTTTAATATTCTTACCATTTTTACCTTTATTCTACTTTTGTTGATGCTTATGCTTTGGTGAGCTTTTTAATTTGTTTGATAAGTCATCGCTTTCGTCACCATCTAAGCCACTTTTTTCCATATTTTCAGCATTTAGCACTATCATTTCACCTGCATCCAAAAATCTTTGGCCCAAACTTTGCTCGTAGGTAATGAGTGAGCCAATCAAATTATCAATCAAATATTCATTCAATTTTTTTTGATTCACAAATAGCAACAACTTTGGCATCAAACTTATCGAGTAGACAACATAGAATTTTATTGACTTTTTCAAAGTTTAAATTTTTTTTACCTAAAGCATGCAATGATGTCACAATTTAAATAAACCTAGTATACATGTCTAAGATCATCTCATAAGGTTTCATATAAAATAGTTCATAATTATGCATTAAAGTATTCAACCTGAATTTCTTGATTTCACTAGAGCCTTCGTATATAGTATGTAATTTATCCCAAATTTCCTTTCCAGTAGTGCACATAAATAAAAACATAAAATTTTCAAAATTTAAAGAACATTAAAAATAATTTAATAATTTAGCATTCAATTGAGCTTTGATTTGTTCTTCCCTACTCCACTGATTAAAAGGAATATCAATTTTAATTCCATTTATAACACGTGACGGTATAGAATAACCAGTTAAAATCATTTATCATATTCGGTGATCAATTGATTGCAAGAAAGTAGACATACAAATTTTCTAAAAATCAAAAGTAATATTTTAAAATAAAGGCGGTTTAGTGATTGAATAAACCTTCCCCAATATTATGATTACAAAAATTAGCCATGGATCGAAATTCAAAAGTTTTCAAAAACTAGATTTTATGAATTCCACTCTAATACCACTTGAAAGTTTGTTAGGGATATTAAGCCCGTATGAACTAGCCCAAGGCTAACCAAGAGGGGGGTGTTAATTGATATTTTAAAAAATCTTTCACAATCAAAAACAAAATTTAAACAAAACCAAAATTTATCACAAAGAAAATCAAAGTACATAAATTAAATGTGGAAATAATAAAGGAAATAACACACCAGATTTATAGTAGCTCGGTCAAACCTTGACCTACGTTCACTCCTCGAAGGCACCATCTGAGTATTGCACTAAACTTAGTGTCTCTCCTTTAGCCCTCGCAGCTAAGCAGATAAGCCCTTATAAAATCACTTCCACCTTCCCCGATGCGGCGGAGTAGCTGGGTCATTTGACACCAAAGATATCTTCTTCTTCCTTCCTCAAGATGAGCCTTAAATCCAATGGAACTAAGTCACAAGCTTGCCAGAGCAACCGTGTGAAACCCCCTCCACACTCCCTTGAAACCCCCTCCAAGGATCTTCTCCCTCTCTAAAACTCCACCCTTTCCTCTCCCCCTTTCAAGCTCTCTCTTTAAGTTTTCTCTAGAAGAAACAAAGCCTAAATGCCAGCCAAAGATGCTTTTAAAGTCTTTGACAAAGCTTAAATAGAAGAGCTCCAAAAAGACTCTTAAATGCGCCAAACCAACATTATCGTCCAGGACAATCACTGGATCATCCCGTACGATATGCTTAAAAAGAGAGCTTCTAAAACCCTAAAAACTCAATTTCTATGCCAAATATCGTCTAGGATGATCGCAAGATCATCTCGTACGATGCGCTTAAAAAGAGGGCTTTAGAAAATCCTAAAAACTTAATTTTGCCGCAAAAAATTATCCTGGCCGATTGAAGTATCGTCCAGTATGATGTATAAAATTTGACCTGGTAGTCCCGGACAATATTAGGATAGTCCAGGACGATCAGTACAAAATTATACAGATCGTCCAAGATGTTATTATGGATCATCCAGGATGATTAGAAGAAAAAATATGGTATTTTATCTTGGATAATTTAGGAAAATCAAGTATGTCGGAAAACATCGCCCTGTACGATATACATATCATCCAGGATGATCGATTACAAACTTTAAACATAAATAATCCCCTAATCATATGATCAATTTAGGTATGATTTGTATATTATTTTTTAAATACAAATTTAATATTATATTTTGATTTAATAAACTTTTTAATATATATCATATATTTAAAGGTATATATACAAATAAATTTAAGTAGTTGCTGGATTGACACATCTTGCAGCTTTATTTGTTAGTTGCGGTTTATGTTTTCAAGGTTTTGAAAACCGGACTGGACAATGAACCGGAATAAGGAAAGGTTCACGGTTCGACCGGTTGAATGGGGTCGAACCGGATAACGTAATAAATATGAATATTATTAAAATTTATAAAATTCACAATACATTTTATCACTTCATGAAAAGAAATGCACTTCCATACTGCAAACTGAACGGAACAAATATGTAGTGTAAGGATTACTGGATTTGCTATTACATAGAACTTTCAAATGTCTTTTAATTATATAGTCCCTCTATTTGACGTCTTTTTTTGTTTGACGTCTTCGTGTTACACTTACACCTCATATATTCTGCTTTTGAATCATCTTTTGTAAAAAAATAACATGAAAATAGATTATCCAGTAACTATTCATCAAAACGAAGAAATCAAACTTAGATCCAAAAAAATTTACTAACATACAACAAAGGAAAGAAATAGCGAACCCATAAATAAAAAAATACTAAAAAAACAAAGTTAAATCTCACGATAAGTTGTGCGCCGGCGGCTGTGAGTTCGGAGGAGTGCGTCGGCGGCTCGACAAGCGTAGATGGTCGGAGGATGGGAGGAGTCGAGCACGACTTGCTTGGAGGCGTCGAAATACTGAAATACCGAATAGTGATTACGAATAGCGGAATAGGGCAGCGAGAATAGCGATACAAATACATTAAAACATCCCTACGTGCGTTTGATCTTTAATGGACTGCTGAGATTTGCAAATTTTGAAACATTTCGGTTCTCCAAAAACCGCGCCGGTTCGGCGGTTCCCCGGTTCAACCGGGTTTAGGGCTGGGTTTTAGCCGGTTTCAAAGCCATCTGGTTCCAGCAGCAAACCGGACCGCTTGCCGGGCCGGTTCGCGGTTGAACCGGTCGAACTGGCCGGTCCGGTCCGGTTTTGATAACCTTGAGTTTTACCTTATATAAAGAGAACCATTTGAAATTCTTCTATGATGTGAGACTAAAAATATGTGAGAATTTTGCATTAGAGTTAATGTGTTAAATTATGAACTTACTTGGGTTTAAAATTTAAGCTGGAAATGCATTTAAGTTATGGAAGCCAGGAAGATAAATTTTTTAGTATTATAAAATTTATATAGTTTAATCAAAATATTTATGTATTATTTATTAAAATTATAATTATATATAATTTGTATTATATTTAAATAATTTAATATTTATTACATGGTTATTCAGTTCAATCCTATTTAATCCGGTTGAATCGAAGCTAACCCTAACCAAGCGCGCCTCACAGTAAATAGCGCTGTGAATCGAGTAACCGTCGGTATTTTGATCGATTGAGCTTAGATCAGTCGCGATGAGTGAGGCGTTTGAAGGATATGAACGACAATACTGTGAAATCTCCGCTTCTCTGTCGCGGAAATGCACGGAGGCTGCTGCTATCGATGGAGGTAATCTGGCTTTGCAAACTCTGATTAAATCGCTTGTTACAGGATTTTTTACTGGTTAAAATAATTTACTCATTGATCATAATGGGTTTACCTTCGTTGAATCTTACAGAACAAAAGAAGCAGAAAGTCTCAGAAGTGAAGTCTGGTCTAGAGGATGCTGAAACCCTAGTAATTAATTTGATTTATGTTATGAAGGGTTTTGAAATCTTCTTGCTTTATTTATAGACAGATTTTGTTTCAAAGGACTTTTGCGTGGTTTATTTAGATCCAAAAAATGGACCTTGAGGTTAGAAGCTTGCAGACAAGTGTGAAGGCAGCATTGCTGGCAAAGTTACGGGAATACAAATCAGACCTAAACAACCTAAAGAGTGATGTTAAAAGAATCAGTTCGTCTAATGCGAAGAATGATACAAGACAGGAGCTGTTAGAATCTGGGATGGCTGATGCGATAGGCGTATGACATTGCTTGCTCCTTTAATCTTAAGTTTTGTACTTATCATTTCTTTTATATGTTTATGATTTAGATACCTCAGAATTTTCTTGCAAAAATAATGGCTCGCTTTCCAACTAACGAGCAGAGCTTGATAAGGCCTAAACTTGACTCGACTCGTTTACACCCTTACTTGAGGATATCATGAGGTTATTATATCATATATTTGATATTAATTAGTACAACATATTCATACATCATATTAGATTCAGATTCGTAGCAATATTATATTCTTATATAACTCAAGCATATAAATTATTTCAATACATATTACCTAACAATCTTATCATGTTAAATTATAGTACAATACTTTTTAACCCATTTTCAGGCTGCCTTTTTCCCTACTAATTTCATCCATAAATTTGTATACATATATGAAATAAAATTTATTATTCAAAATAATCAAATATATAACATATCAAAAGTTATATGGTGAAAATTTATGAAATCAGGATATAATATTTTTTTGAAGATTTAGGATAGATAAATTTGTAGAAATTAAAATTATCAAAAATAAAAGTAAGAGAATAATTACTTATAATGAATAGAATATTTTTTGTAAAAGAAACTACAGATGAAAATTACTTCAAGGCCCTTCTCTCTCTTATTCTCTCTCATCTTCTCTCCTTCTCCTATGGTCCTTCCCACCTTTGTTGCCCGTCGACTTTGGTCCCTCAGACAGATCACTTTGGCCCAACTGTGATCCTTCCAACCTTTGTCGCCCGTCGACTATGGCCCCTCCGACCTCTATAGCCTGCTAACTACAGTCACTCGCACCACCTTTACCCAACTATGATCCTTCTAGCCTTTGTTGCTTGCAGATTATGGTCCCTCTGACCAATGTCGATTGATTATGATCCCTTCAATCACCATCGTCCTACTACGACCCTTTAAACCTCTGTTGCCCACTAACAATAGTCCCTCCAACCATCATTGTCCGACTACGGTCCTCGTGACCTCCATCACCCATCGACTATGGGCCTCTACTTTCGTCGTTTGCCTACTACGGTCACTCTAACCACCTTCGCATAACTATTATTTTTTCGACCTCCATCACTTACATATTATGGTTCTTCTGACATCTATCGCCACCGACTATGGTATTTCTAACTATTATCGCTTAACTACAATCCATTTAACCTTCATCACCTATCGACTACGATTTGTCCAACCATTATCACCGGACTATGGTACTTCCGACCTCCGTAGCCCACTAACTATGATCCTTCCGACCTCTATCACCCATCGACTGTAGTCCCTTTGACCACTGTCCCATGACTATGGTCCTTCTAATCTCCATAGCCCTTCAACTATGGTCCCTCTGAAATTAAGTTCTTTATCTCTTCACGCTGTGAATATTTTGGCTCGCAACAAGGGTAGTTGATCAGTTGTTTGCCTTGAGAAGTCATCACTCCTGCTCAATAATATATCTTCTAGGGATAGTTTCACGATAATCACTCAGGTGATATCGATGCCCCTGAAATGGTGTGATCATTTATAAGTTTTAGCATAACGCCATAACCAGAGTCAAATCTAGCAATAACTACTGCAGAGCACTTCAAATTGTGCCTCCTCCACCAGCCATCTAAGTATGCACATATCCACAGCAGAACCCTTTCATCTAGAGGCAACATAGAAATATTCTCTAACATCGTCGTTATTATATTTTGAGATGTAAATCCTTTTCGATAATTATATCGATTTTGTAGGTTACTACTGACTACTGCAGGTTAATAATACAACCTGATTGATCGACACAATCAAATTCCACAAAACTAACATATTTAAATAACAATTACCTAAATTTGATAAAGAAATCGTTCAAACTATCAATATCAAGATATTGCTACTTGATTTTTGAAGTAAATGATAAAAAAAAAAAGATAACTGCTTTTGATCATTCTTGATAAAATGATATATTTGGATGGATAACATTGTTATCTAAATAACCTTGTTATTAACTTTCAAATATTAAACAAATTTTCTTGTTTGTTTGATATGAACAATACAAAATTTCAAGATCGTTCTACAATCTAATCTTCAAAAACTGAAATGTGCTTCTAATGAACAATATCAATTACAGATGGACTTTCAATTAATTATCTTGAGAGAGAAAGGTGAAAGAACATAGAATGAAGGGAAGTGTGATTTCATTTGTTGGATGGGTTTGTAGTGCATGAAGTTGAAAGCGGCAATGAAGCAAGGAAATAGCAAAGGGATGTAAATAAATAGATGCAAATAAAGGGAAGTTCTTCCTTCAATGGAGCTATATATAGAAGAGGAAGAACGAATATTACAGACAAGGAAGAGAAATCAAAACTTAGGAAAGAAGAAGATGACATGAGCTTGCAGATTGGTCCAGAGATGTGCAAACCCTTTGTTGTAGATAAAAGAGTTTCACATACTTGACGACAAGGACGTTGCAAAAGTGCTTTTTGCAAATCCATAAATCTCGTTAAATTTGTTGAACTGTACAATTTAGTAAATCTAGGATTTATGATGAAAAACAGTAAATTCGGGATTTGTGATTGGTGAGGATTTACAATAGCCTTTTTTCTATTTGGCAGAATTTACAATAAATCCTATGTAGATCCTGCTTAAAGCCCGCTACTAAACAATCCCTCAGGGGTGTTTTGCTATAGCTAGGATTTAGTAAATATTGTAAAAATTTGCAAATTCGGTTTATCATTTTGATGATACTACAAAAATTTCATGCTAAAATAATGACTTGAACCACTTGACTATCCTTAAGTGTTGTTTGGCCGCTACTTGGATTTAGTAAAATCTCGGGAGGCTTAAACTTGAAAATATAGTTGACATAACAAATGTTAAATATTGTGAAATCCTGATAAATAGTTTGACAATTTGTATTACAAAAATAGCAACATGAAGCCTTTATTCCACTACGTGGGGTCAGCTACATGAGTCCTTTTTCTCCATTGTGTCCTATTAAGAGTCAAGTTGTGAAGCTGAGAAATCTTTATATCCGTTAAATTCTGGGAATGGTGAGATTAACAATTTATGCATTTAACTAATAATGATACTGAAATAAGATTTATCAAAACTATAGGATTTGAAGTTCGCAAAATTCTGTTTGGCAAGATTTTAAGCTAAAGATTGCAAAAAAAAAAAAAAAAAGCTAAACCTTGATTAAATATTACCTAAGTATAATACCAAACAGCCCCTTAGAAATTTTCATTCATGAAATGCTTTCTAAATCATTTGTTTACGAGAAAAGTTTGTAGATTGCTGCATAGTTAATTTTGACATTTGCGCTTTGCTAATTAAAGTTCAGCTTTTATGATATGAGCTGAAGAATTTGGTTTGATTGTTGGCTTGAAAAGTTTATGTTGCAAGAAGTTTAGTTCATTTTGACATGTCCTATAGTTATTTTGTTGTGTTGTTTTTTTTCCTGAAGCAGTTAACAAATAGAGTTTTAACAGTGATGTAGGATTCATTATTTGAACTGCCCCATTTTTAGGCATGGTTTTGGATATTATCTTGCTAATTTATGTATTTAGACATGGGGTTTCTTTGAATGTTTTTTTATTTGGTAGCTGGTTATCCCTGCTTTTGAAACATGTAATGATGGGCATATGTTCATCTTTTGTTTTACCATTCCTTGTTTTGCATGGGCTATTGGATGGTGTAGTTCTCTGCTGATCAAAGGCAAAGACTGTTAATGTCAACTGAGAAATTGAACCAATCTAGCGAAAGGATCAGGGAGAGTAGAAGAACCATGCTTGGGACAGAAGAACTTGGTGTATCAATTCTGCAAGATCTGCATGAGCAAAGGCAATCTCTTCTACATGCTCACAATACAGTAAGTTATTTGGTCATTTTTTTTTGTTAGTGCTGATTTGGTTTCTTTTAAGCTAGAAATTGTGTATTGAAAGATGATGAAATTTGTTAGATCCATCATTTGGTCGGTTTAGGTAGAAATCAAAATTAATTTTAAGCTCCAAAAACCCTCTCAAAATTCCCTTACAAAATTATCATTTTTTTAAACCAAGTGGGAGCTTAGCATCAGAGTGTTTGCCCTCCTGATAGTTGTCAGTTTCCTTATCAAATGAAATTTCTTTGTAGCTTGTTAAAAACATCCTGACTTGAGCTTGGAAATTTTTTAGCTTTATGATTTGTGATGATTTTTTTAAATAGAAATTTGAATAAACAGTGCATGGGGGAAAAATGAAAATAGAGATTGCGGAGTCTTGTTATTTGCTCCATGTCCATTCTCGAATTTCCATTGATTCTGGTGTAGAATGGTTTGTATTTGAATTAAAGGATAGAACATTACTTATTGGTTGAACCTCTAGTTTTGAGTTTTCTTCCAATCATATGTTGTTTCATGTACATGCCACTGTTCCATGCATGCTATTTTTTGTAGTTGTAATGTGTTATTTTACTCTGAAATGAATTAATAGAATTTATTGGGATTTTGATTGATCTTGATTTATTTCACCCAATGAAACTAGTTGAATGTCCACTATCTGTAAAAATTTTGAGCTCCAAGAATTTTATCTGTTTGATGGAAGGTTATCTGTTGCCCCAAGAGTTTAGCAACTTATGAGAATGAATTTGAGATACTTTGAACTATAGAGAAGTGTTGATGAGAAGAAAATACAACATTCTTTAAAAAATTATTAGTTTAAGTGGCTCAGTTTTGTGACTTCATCTGCTGTAGAGAGAGTAGAACGGACATCTTATTACTCATAAAGTGAATATATGAGTGAAAGGGGTTGTGAAGAAGACAGAAAAAATTTGAAAAGTATGCTTTGTGGTTTGATATTTGTTAAATTCTAAATCTCAACCCTAGATCTCCACCCCTTCCATCTTGCATTGTTTTTCGTGATTTCAGGACAAAGAGAGGAGCTACATGTGGAAATACTTGTGGCAGTTCACGCTTATCACATATCTTGTGGGCTAGACATTGTGAATGGTCATATCTGTATGCGGAATAGTTCTCTGGAGATTTAATACTTTAATGAATAATTTTGTAACTGAAGACTGTGTTTGAATAGATTGGGGATGGTGGGCATATCAAATGCCTTGGTTTGTTAACATTTGATGCCCACCAAATTAGTTTTGCTAGAATTGATTTTAACTGACTGTATAGGCAGACTGACATTGGTGTTTAGGGTTTGATATATGTGTGGTCTATAAATTCGATCATCGATAATTGATGAAATAAGGGCACAATTGGTTGAGTTTTTGTTTTCCATTTTTGGTTTTGTGGTTTCACGCTGACCTCAAATAGTTGGGATAAAGCTAGTGATGTTGATGATGATTTTTTATTTTTTGAAGCAGCTATTTATATTAGTAAATATGTTTGACTTGTTGTTTTAATTTTTAATTTTTTGTTTTGAAAAAAAAAGTATGTTTTCAGAAATTTTGAAGACATCAAACTGGGTGTTTTTACTTGTTTTCTAAATAATTATTATGAAAATAGAAAAATGATACACATTCAATTGTGTCTATATTTAGCAAGAAAAATGAAACAAAAAATAAGAATATAAACACTTTTTTATGATCCTTTTACAAATATCCAAAGTCATAATTGGGTATACTACTTGATTTTACTTGTTTCTATGGTACTATCTGCTATTCTGAGTTTAACATAACTGAGGATGCACTAGTTTATTCTTATAATTTTCTTTTAGTAATATAGACTTCTTTAATTTTGATAGCCGTTTAATAATATATAATTCTGTAATTTTGGTAGCCCTTGTTCCATGTTTGTTTAGAATACAAGTTTTTCTTCCTTTTGGATGTCTTTGGGTAGTTGAAGTTATATATGCATGTAATTGTATGCTATTTTGAACCACTCTTTGATCTGCTTCACTTTGGCGGATTCAATCTTAATGACCGAGCGCCTTGATCTCTCTCTTATGCTTTCGATTGACGATTCAATTGCGCCTATAAACTCTTGGGGACATACTCTTTGATCTCAATGTTTTGATTTGAGAATCATCATCATTGACAGTCTCCATTAAGACATCAAATTATTAAAATTTAAATGAACACAATCTAATTCTCCCTTCATGACTCAATGCCATTTACAATCTCCATTGAGATATCCAATTATTAAAATTTCAATGAGCACAATCTAATGACCCCTACATGATTTGATGAATCCAAATTATGATGGATGCTTCTTCGTGTAGTCTTCTTTGAAGTATCTGGTTGGATTGACCATCCCTTTCATCATATGATTCCTAGATCACGGGCTCCTCTATTTGGAGGATTTAGCTCTTGAGAAATCATAATTTAGGTGGGGTGAGGACAACTTTTTAACCTTCAAATTTTACATCGTTTTTTATGAAGTTGGATATTTTAAAAACATTTTTAAAAACATGAAATTTGAGAGTTTCTGTGTTCACGGAGCTTGGATAACATTTTATCTCTAGAAGCCTCATACAAATATCAAAAGTCATACCTTCAATGTACTTGTTTTCATGATAACGCCTCCTCTTTGAAGCTGGTCAAAATTGATGAGGCACTATTTTTTTAATATTTTCTCAAGGTTATGAAAGTCAAACTTCATGTTGAACCGGAAAAATGAGAGGTTTAAGGTTCAACGGTTTGATTGGGGTTAAACCGGATGACATAATAAATATTAAAATTATTTAAATATAAAATAAATGATATAAGAAATGGATAATGATATAAGTTTGTTATTAAAAAATAAATTTTGTTCACATATAAACTTATAAATTTAATTAAAATTATTGCTAATTTATATTATATAGAAGATAAGCATAAAATAAAGTTAAGTGTTGTAGAGATGAGGATGCTTAGATGGATGAGTAGCTTTATTCTTAGAGATAGAATGCGAAACGAGCATACAGGTGAAAAGGTTGGAATAGCTCCAATGACAGATAAGATTAGATAGAGTTGTCTTAAATGGTTTGGTCACATACAATGTCAGCTTTTCGATGACCCGATTAGTAGATTATATGTATTAGATTTGATATATATTATTAGAAAATATTAGAAATGCCCTTTTTTATTAGATTTAAATGAGAAATTGACTCTTAACAAAACACAATGGAGAAAAATGATTCATGTAGTTAATCCCAAGTAGTGGGATAAAGGCTTAATGTTGTTGTTTTTGCTAATTTATGTTATATATTTAAAAAAAAAATGTTATATATTTTAAAAAAATTACAATTATAAATTATGTACAAAATTTAAATTATAAACCTTCATCGATGAATCATTCATCTTAGATTATTTATAATTACTAAGTAAGCAAAATTAATTTTTAATAATTTATATTTTAAAAATAAAAAGTAAAATAGATAAACAATTAAATATAATTAACCAACAAAATAATAGTATTCTGATTATTATAAAAATTATTTAAAAAATAGTTTACAAATACATAATATATGTGTTTTGAAGTAGAACACTTTAACGAAGTTATTTATTTCCACATCACTTAGGAGCTTTATTTAGTTTTGTTTATATAGCTTTTTTTGTTTGCATTAACTCATTTGGGGTGATGAGACCATTTGGATATGTTTTGTTGTTGTTTGGTTGGTAAGTTATCATTATTGGAATTAGTGCTTATTATAAAATTAAAATATATTATATTTAAATTAATTCTAAATTTAATATTTTATATTAAATTAATCTAATTAATTATTTAAATAGGGTAACAAATGAATTGGCCGGTTCTTAAAAATTTGAACCGGTTCAATGGTTGGTCGGTTGAACCGGCTATATAAGTCAGTTCACACCGATTTGATGCTAAGCCTATTTTTAAGACGGACTGAAACTGCCATATGACTGTTTCACGGTTGAACCGTCCGATGTAATCCGATTTTCAAAACCATAATTTTTCATACTTGAATTAATAAGGGGATGATTCTCCAAGCTCCTTCAGTAATGTAGATTCTCAAAATTTGGCAGCTTTTGTTCTATTTTTCTTTTGGAAGCCATGCCTTTCTTTCTTTTGAATGTCTATGGGCAGTTGAAAGTACATTGTTGTATAATTATATACCGTCCTGATAACTTTTTAAATTTTGTCACTTTGGTGGAGCCAATCTTGATGATCGAGTTTTGTTACATTGACATATTTGGTAGGATATGTTGGGCTATATGTATTGCTTCTTAGTAAGCATCTGCATTTACATATCACTTCCTTTGCCCAACATAGAGAGAGCATGGCTTCTTCAGCTTGGTGGATTAGCCATCAGCATGATGAAATCATTTTCAGTAGAAAGGATTTCCTTTTGTGAGTTGACAATGATAAAATTATTGATGCATCATAACTTACCTATCAAGAATGTATAAGTTACCGAAGATGACTTAATATGAAAAGTTTTTTATGATAAAATCAATCCTTTCGATAAACCAACTAGAAGTCAAAATGAGCGTTGCACTCTTTTTAATATACGTATTACTCCTAATTGTTGACTCTCTAATATTATGTAATTCGTTATCTGTATTTTAATAGAAAAATATTGATGATTAAAAATAGTTTTTAAGATAGCAACTATCATGTATTATGAAAGTTGCATTGATATTGCTAAACAAATATTGATAATATATATTATTGTTTAACATGGTGATGTAGGCAAGGGGGGGGGGGGGGGGGGGTGAAAAAAAAACCAAAATATGTTTGCAAGGGGGGGGTCAAATCAAATCCTAATATTTGATTTTTGACTTCCCTAGCTCATTAATGTCTAGTGAAAGATTAGCTCAATATGAGCTGATTTTTAGTTATAAAATTAATGATTGGGAGTTAGATTTGATGAGTGGAACTTGTTCTTTCATATTCTTCTTGAATGGGGGCTGCTGCAGTTTTTCTTCTCTGGA